TTCTATTCACATGCAACAACCGCTTGATTACTATTTAAAATTCAAGCAGACATTTAATTTGTGGACACTGTCAGAAAAGCCAACAAGTATTGAGTAAGTTCCTGATATCAAGTTGAACATATTAGCATGTGAAATCACTTCCTATACAGTAATGCATCGAACATTCACATCCTTTATCACATGATCAAAATAATGAATGACAGTCTTCTCAAAATAAGTTTGCAAGTAACAACCATGTAATGATTAGTAGGACTGCCGCACAGAGCTGGGTTTTCTTTCCCATATGAAAAAAAGAAACGCTTATGGATCAGTTCCTAATCTTAAGCGATAGTTTTCATATCTAGGTGGAACAGATTACTTTCATTTCACGGTGTAGTTACAAACGGCCGTTAATTATCCTAGATTGATCTGCAATCTAATACCTTTCGATGTAAACTTTCTTCGTTTAATTTGAAAGTAATTCAACCTAGCTTGTCTCAGGTGTTTCATCATGCAATTAAACAATCAACACCAAACGCATTAACAGTTAGTCTGTTTGGCTAAATCAAATCCAAATGGACACAGAGAGACGATATTGGGTACCATCTCCTCTTTGTATATAGCAACATCATCATCTGTCTTTTCATCAACCCATTCTGAATTCCTCCTCATGTGGTCCCAGTACTCCATCTCCACAGTCGTATACCGAGGTAATGACGTCATCTCCAATTTGGTACTATGATCGGTAGAGATACACAGGCTCAGCTGTTCCCTAACACAAGCAGGTTATATTATTCAAAGATAATATTCTCAATGAAAGGTCATGAAGTTTTAATAGGATGAATTTTGGGAATAGCTTTGCGGCGTACCTTTAGTTTCAGATAAAACAGTCATGCAAAGTATGTTAAGTATAGGGCTCTCCACACATTCCATGCTTATATCTGAAGTCGGCTAGCATACAGGGTTGATTAAGAGATATCAAGCCCTGGAGCTAATGAGTAACATCAACTGCTGGGCCTGACTCAAATTAACCTTCAGATATCTTTTACGCTAACATACATCTGACATCAAAACTTCTACAATCAACAACAAAAAATATGGGGTTTGCTGTATCAAAACCAGCACCAGTGATGTTAACTGGAATCGACATACTACTGCCAATATTATGAGAAAAAGTATTACCCTACTTATAGCTTCTCCGTACTAAGGTACAAAATACTGCCACTTTCTTATGCCAATTACTCAGTTTAAAATTTGGAGACAGTATGCTGATTTCGGGATGACAAGCCTCATGGTTTAGAGAGAAAAAGTATGCATCAAAGATCCCCATATTAAAAAAGAAGTGAGGAATCAGGACAAATATTATGTTTAAAACAAAATAATTGATAATTTTAATGTTACAAAAAAAGTTAAACAAATATTATTTCTCTCAATGGCCACTATGGAATAATTGATCTGATTATGTCGAACAGATAATCTAAAATGTTCACTCATAAGGGGAGACTTTTTTATACCTTGTTTAGTGAACCCACCGCCTGCCAATAATGATGATTTTGAATAAAAATATAATTTTATTTTCGGCCAATTAATCTAATCTAATCTAATCTAATCATATTTATTTATATAGCGCCTTTCTTTGCAGATACAAAGCGCTTCTGTCCCTGGTCATTGGATCCACATGCTAAGTGTTGCTGCTGTATTCAGCGCAGGAGCAAGCAACCCCACCAGGTACCCATTTATACTCCTGGGTGGAGAGAAGCAATGCAGATAAAGTGTCTTGCTCAAGGACACAAGCGAAATGCACAGCAAGGAATTGAAACCCCGACCTCAAGGTTGGGAAACCAAACCTTTCACGCTGCGCCAAACCACTTCCACGATTACCGTACCCTCTGCCACGGAAAACTTAAAATTTCAGAATTTTCCTTTTTTTTATTACGCCTGCTGCTGCCTTGAAATCTCCAAAAAATAAGATGTATATTTCTTCCTAATTATAGAAATTGAAAGCATTTAACCATCCCTTACTACATTGTTTACATTCACCAATAAAATTTTATTTTTATTTTTTTCTCCATCTTGGATTTTTTTGACGAAACTATCTGCTAAATAAAAACTACATTTTATTTATTTTTTTTTTTTTACACCCTCCTCTAACGATATTAAAAAAAATTAGTTTCGCGAAACAAAGGATGAAAAAAGTCTCACCAAAAAGTCTTGCCTAAAAGTCATTATGTTTGGGCCTTAAATCAGGGTAGGACATAATGAACACTGTAAACAAATATACCTCAGCAATATTTTAAAGGTTTTTCAGGGATTTTTCAGTTTAAGGCTATTGTTATATATATATATATATATATGTTTTTCATTTCATTTCATTTTTTTAGACACAAGCGCCAAGGATATGCCAATAAGTGAACTTAATCACTGTCCTACGTGGCATATATAGTATAAGAACTGTTATTACCTCTTGGTAGGCTTTTCTTAAATGGAAAATAAAAAGGTAAAAAACCTATATTCCCAAAAAAAATAAACAAAGCCACTAAACAGTTTGCCATGCCATTTGAAGTTGCTAACTCTAAATATAGTTATTAAAATATATCATTTTCTATCACCAGCTTTTATTAAGCAATCAAGCTAATCATTCTCTACTAAATTTATTTTATCTAATATTTTTTTAAATTTTTTTTTTTGGGGGGGGGGATATTTTTCCTTTTTGATAATAATAGTACTGTTCTCTTTCCATTACAAATAGTGTAAGTGTACTTTAGATCTATGCACTTGAAATGAATCAAAAAGTAGGCAAGCAAAAACTGGACAAGCCAAAAGCTATTCTCCTGTATTATAAATTGATTTTCATCTATTTATTTACTTATAGAAAATTTATTACTTTGTACATTAATAAAAATAAGATGACACAAGAATACGAAACAATACTATCGTTAATAATGGGACAACATAAACTATAATACACTACATAAAAACAGCACAATAAATAAAATACAGTATAGTAAATTGAATAAAACTGTTTATTAGGTGATATTGTTTGTGCATTATATAAAGAATAGATGATAAAATATTAGAATAAAAATAATAAAATAGTTTTTTTTTTTTTTTTTAAATCAATAATGAATCTAGTCGCAGACAATTAAGGTGGTTATAAGTCTGATCCATATTTTATGTACTGTACCAATCAATAACATAAAGTTACTGACCTATTTCAAGTTCAACTTCAGTGTCATCAGTATTCCAAGGTTAATTTTGGAATTATTCATGGTGGTTATTGACAATAACAACATTCCCTATGAATGCAATAACCACAATTGAATAAATTAGGGAGTTCGTATTTTTCGTTTACCTGAAAAATCATGGTATACATTGGTTTAAAATATGGATATATTTAGATGCACTCATTATTATCCTAATTGAAAATATTAATGTACAGTAGATTGATTCATTAAAGTACAATCCCAGGGCAAAGGTCAAAATATACACCAAATGCTATGAATTATGGGATACATGAGAGAGCATAGTAACAGCTTGTGTTTTAAGAACTACTTCATGCACATTTCATTACTGTAGACATGTGCTTAATGTCGCTGAAGCTTGATTTGTCTGCAATAAATCTCAGAAATATAAATCTCTATCTGCCAACAAAGTAATTCACTTAAGCAAGCAAAGACCAGGATTTGCGATGAGTGATAACATTAATTTTGCCTGTCAGAATTGTGCTGCAGGAAAAGCGATTAAATTTACATTGTCTGCTTCAGATATCATTAAAAAAACAAAAAAACAAAAAAAAAAACTATAAAAAAAAATGCAAGATTAATCAAACATAGAATATTGGATTGAATCATATTTTAAATAAAAAAATATTATACAATTCAGTTTCTTCCTCAAATAACATTTTCTTTTTCAATTTATGGGGGTTTCAACTTCTGAGATATATAGATTTTCTAATTATTTTATACTTGTAATTTGTCATTTTACAATCAGTTTTTAGAAGTGTCATGGTGATTGGTGATAATTTATCTGCTTCCTGATTTGTTATTAAACTGTAAGGAATTCACAGGACATTATTTTGCGTGATAAGATCTTCAATCTTATGAATGAAACGCTCCTATATTGAACACCTGTTAATTTTTATACAGGTGTGATAACTAACGTTTTATGGACTCTGGCACTGCACTTTATATCACTACTTAAACTCGGGTATAACTCAATTGATCATATTTTAATCAGTACACATTGTGTGAAATCACATTCCAACTCTTTTTTAAATACAAATACATTTTATTTTCCCTTTAAAATAATAAAAAAAATTAAATAACATAGAATACAAATATGATATAGTTTGGTTATAATCACTACAATAAATAGAAGCATGATATGCATACCGCTACTTCGTTGATACTATTGCATTATATACAATATACACAATTAATATTATCAATTTATTATTTTTGTTATAAAAAAAATTATATCTATTATTTTGATTGTAAATGAACTTATTACTTAATATTTTGATATCTCATTTATTTTTTAGTATTTGTCCACTACAGTTGAACTTGCCTAAGTTGAATCCAAAATGGCACTGAAAAATTGTTTGACAGATAAAATAATAATAATAATAATTTTACAATTAAACAATACAATACAATTAAACTTACAGAATGTTAAGTAATGGATAACACAATTTGGCATGTAAAATAAGATCGACTTGGAAATTATTCAAGTTTCAAAGTTATTCAAGGCAAAGTTGACTTAGGCAAGTTGAACTGTATTTTATTTGTTTTTTACTTTTTGTGTTGTTATGTTTTTATTGTTCAAAATATTTAATTGAACCTGCTTTAATCAAAAAATGTAGTTTCAACAGTCAGTTTTGTTTTGGGTTGCAAATGTTCAGCTTTAGCTGGAACGACTAGCAATAACGTAATACAGTATAATATAAATAAATATAACAACAAACACAGTGTACTAGCACGGCAAATCTCGAACAGTTAACAAACAACGCTTTTTTATCTTACCTCCAATTTAGAGTCATCGTTTTTGGCTGCCTCTAGCTCAAGCTCGATAGTAACAAGCCACCGATCAAGATCATGTGTGTCCTTTTGATATTGATACCACTGTGGTACCACTAGTTGCATTGTATTCTTTTTTTGCTCCGCATCCCTCTTCACGGTCATCCATTGTCCCCGTAGTTTGTTCAGTTTAATTGCAATCAGCGAGGCATTTTTTGGTTCCCTTGTCCTCGCCTCATCAATGATTTGCTCGCCTCGGTTGATTAAGTCTTGAATGTCCGGCTCAAGACTTGCTATCGTCTCGTCGGTTTCCTATGAAGTAGGATTAATGTTGTTTTAAGTGTTATATAATCATGGCAGTAATCATAAAAACAATTGCATAAAGATTAGTGTGAAAAAGAAACTATGTCTACCTTCTTGGCAACAACGATGGCGACCGTCTTGACAACAATAATGAAGATCGCTCATGTTGTTCATCGTGATAATGAAGAGAACAGACACAATGATGACAATGGTGATAATGATGTTGATTTTTATTATGATGGATAATTAATGATGATAATCATTGTGTTGATAATCTTGACTATGATGGTAATCATGATTTTGTGATCTTTGATGAAAAAATGTGATAATAATGATCATGAAGGTGAGATGATGATAATTGTGATGAGGATACAATAATGAAAATTATGTTATATTATCATAATGACCATGATACAAAGATTATGGTTGATAATAATCAATGCAGATATTATAATGATAATGATGGTAATGATGATGACGATGACGACAGCAATGATGAGGACAGTGACAATTAATGGGAATGATGCTTGTGTTGCGAATGATAACGAAAATGACAATATTAATGATGGTAGCAGTAATGGTGATATTATATAGTACCATGTTGAGTATTTAGTTTAATATATAATCATAATACCAAAACAAATATTCCTACTAAATCTTTCACAAGTAGAATGTTAGTCGTTTACATGTCTCAATTTTCAATAAAGATAACAAACAGTTGTTCCTTTGATAATATTAGTAGAGTAATTCTGTCACTGTATATTCTTTACTTCATTAATCAGGACAATTCAAGCACAAAAAAACCTTCAGTAATTTATTGGATGTGTTTTTATGCACGTAAATAATGCATGTAGTTAAATTACAGTTCTTAAAGTACTGTAAACACATTTAAACTGCCAAAAAGAATTGTTGATGGAATTTTTTTTTATTTGACTTCGATCAGGGAGAGATGTTACTGCCCTATCTCTTCTTAAAACACCCAACAAGTTGCCAAGTTGTAGGAGGTAATGTACTCTTCACATGTAACCTAGTATTAAACCATGAAATCATTACATTTTCCAAGCTGTCCAGAGGCTTTGGCATAGGTAAAAAGTATCAACAAGACTTTTGCTTTTTCATCCCTACTTGTCATCAAGAGAATTTTACACAAATAAATGTTATGCCAGGTATTAATGCTCCAGACTAAAATAGGAGCTCTATTTTTATATACCTCTGTTCTATAAGTGAGTAAATGTGACCCAAGCTCACAAAAGGGCCAAAACACATCATTTACTTTAAAATGACAGTTAAATGAACTCAATCGAGTATCTGGAAGCAAAGTTATGACCGTATGAATAATCGTCAGGTTTCTATTCATTTTTCACTAACTCCCATCTGAAAATGGCTGAATTTTACCTCTTACAGTTATAATTTTAAACTCAAACTTAAGGAATAGTAAGATTAATAGTTATACATTATTTATTACAAAAAACCCAATTCGCACAAAATTCATGTTCTACAGCCTATTATGGCTATGGAGGCTTGTTTCTCAATATAGTGCAGTGCGAGTTTACAGCCCTTTTGTGATTTTGGGTGACGAATATTAAGAATTAACACCTATAATTTAAAAAAAAAAAAAAAAAAATTAAATTATATATATATATATATATATATATATATATATTTAAATTAGTATTAGGATAATGCATTTAAATCTGAAAACAATTCAATTTCTATTAACACAGCAATCTACATTTTTATGTAACTCACCAATATTGTGTTTTCAAGATCATTTTCAAAATCTTCTCGTTTTAGGTTACCATCAACTAAACGATTGTCAAACAGATTAATAGCAAACAATGTCTGATCCAAAATCTCATTGAACTCGGTAACGTAACTCATTTCACCTTGTGAGTTTTGGTCTTGGTGACTTTTCTGAGCATTTTCACTCTGGTCTTTCTCCGATTCCATCTTATTAAAAAAGTCTTCTAATGTGGTGCTACACTCCACTGGTTTTGTATTTGTCATCTCAATGCATTCGTTAATAAGCTGTGGCTCATTATCAAGCGCTTCTAATGGTGCTGATTTTTCAAGTTTCATTTCAATGGGAATAATCTCAACTGATTCAACTTCATTTTCAATGGAATTCTCAATGTTATTCTCAACAGGAGACAACATCATCTCCTCGATTTCATTTTCATCAACAACCATTTTGTTCCCAATAACAATGCTGTCATTGGCAGTTAAATCTTCGTAACCATCACGTAGTGACTCTGAGAAATTGTTTGGCATGACAACCAATTGAGCCTCCTGGACGTCCTCGATCTCCATCCCAACAGGTTCCTCAAGGTTCGTAGCAGCAGTCACTCGAGCCTGCTCCTCTTTCAGGCTCTCCTCGGCTTCCAACTCAGCAACTAGCTGCTTCTGTACTGCTATCTGATCCTGAAGAAAGAATTTGGAAAAAGTTATCGGGCCTGTTTCTACTGGAAAGAAATAATTGATTAAAAATCACTTTTTTGAAAAATCGCTTTTATTCTCGCAGTAGAAACGGGACCAGTTTGAAAAAAGCGATTAAAAAAAGTCGATTAAAAACACGCAATGGATAATTGTGCTGATGAGCACAGCCGAAAAACATTTGCCTTCTCGCCCCAGATCGTATCTTACTCCTCGTCATCATGACAGAATGAGAAAGATACTATCTTATACAGTTAGGAAAACAACGTGTTGTATATACAAAATGGTGACGTAAATTTCCGTCATGAAAACCGATTTTCGAAAAATCAAAAAATGCAGTTGCAACGCCAGCAGGCTGTCTGGAATTCATTAAAAAAACGGTTTAAAAAAATTGATTATTTGTGTTTATCAGTAGAAACACACCCATAGTCAAAATAAGATGACACAAAATTCATTACAACAGAGGTTAAAAGTAGAATCTCAATGTCAACAAGTAACTACATGCATGTACAAATATAAAGTTCAGAGATAATGTACTGATAAAAACGGAACTAAGGCTCTATATGCTCCGTCAAAACCAATCAGAGATGTGAGGAAGTAAGAATGTTTACATTTTCAGCAAACAGGATTATTAATGAAAATTGAAATTATAAAATCATCTAAATGAGAGTGTGGCCTTACTGAAAAAAAATGTTCAAAATGAAGCTTATAAAATCTGTACACTTACTGAACCACCGATAATTGCACCAAAAAGACAGACCAAAAATTAGAAGATCCAGAATGAATAAAACCCAGAAATCTGAATCATCAACAAGGAAATGAAAGAAAGGCCTAAGTACAAGATAATGCTGCACCCAAATGGAACTGGTAACTAGGAAGTTTGTTGAAGTAGAAAGAAAGGGTGAGGATAAAGAAAATATGCAAAGAGCTTGTGCACCAGATGATTAACTTTGTTACTATAATCTTCACTTGATAAACAAACTTGAGTCAGGAATTCTAAACAGAAACAAACAACTTTATTCTGACAATTATCAGTTCAGCAGCTGATTGATGACACTTAGAGGTTAAAAAGGCATTGTTTTATACAATCACATTGTGCATAGTACATGAATCAAACTAGTTTATTATCATTTTTTTAATTCTTAATTAGTTTTAGTTTGCTTAGGGAGTTTGATTTAGCACGAAAAAAAAAAAGCTCATTCATCTTTCATCCATTCCATGTATATATTCTTTATGAAGCTTTTAATTAAAACCATGAATTAACTCACCTATTACAAGATGGAATGATGCTTTATGAACTAAAAAAATTAATGAAGTGACAAAAATATCCTAATAGAGGTGGGGAGAGGTGGGTGGGAGAGGGAAGGGTTGGTGGGTGATTCCACATTCTATCAAATCTTGCAGGGATTGTGGAGTACTTAAAAGTCATTATATACATTTTTTTTAATAAGGACACATTTTATAAAAACAATGAGGCTGAAGTTGCATAAACATTAAGAAGAAAATGAGATTGACGCTGAGGAAAAATGTCAAATGACTTTTCATAAAAAAAAGAAAATAGAAAACCAACAAATTTTATGAGTCTGCACCTTATTTGTATTAGGTGTGACCATGTAATACATTTAAACACACAGTACAGTTATATACTGCTGTACAATAATAATTTTCTATGTTTGAAAATTATGTAAAAAATTAGAACAAATTAAGAACATTTGGAACCTGCAATCGGTAAAAAAAAATAAGAACACTGAGCCTGGGCAAAATTTTACTGGTTCTTATAAAAAAATGTGTAGTTCATTAAGTAAGGAGATTAATAAACTTGATGGAAATATAAAAACACTTATAAAAAAGTAACAATCCTAGATGAACAATGGACAGAAATGTGTAAATATAAAGTAACTTGATACATTTATATTCAATATACATCTTTATCATATAACAAATTTTAAACGCCTGTTAAAATTGCATTAATAAAATTAATAATATGTGAAATAAATTCATACTATAAAAAAATAAGTAACTGAATCAAAGTAACAATTTTTATAGCTAAAAAACATGTATCACCAACTGTTGTCATAAAACAATATTAATCACATAAAAATATATGTACACAATTACAATTAAAATAACTTAATATAACTTATAAAATAAAAAGTATAAAAAGTTTTAATAGAAAACAATCCATGCGCGAGTCCTTCACCAGTCTGTGTCGCACAAATACATGTTCGTCTTCTGGAAAAATGCCTGAAAAACCATCTTAAAATATATTTACTTATTTTTTAATTTTTTCGACTGGATAGCATTTTAGTTGTGCAGTACTGCTTTTCAAAATGGTCCAGTTTTCTTAACAATGTTAAGAATATAAACAGAAGTAAAATATTAAACAGAACAAAAAAGTATCAAAAATAAAAGAAAAAACATTGTATATGGCACGATAAACATTCAAAAAGTTTAAATTGCAAATAACCTTATTATAAAACTTCAATCTTGAAGTAAATTAGGACAAATGTTATTTTTGAAATTGACTATGGTCATATTAGTTGCATTTTTCTGATTTCATTTGGTAGATTATTCCAAAGTTTTCCCAGTTTGGTACTACTAAGTTTTTACTGCTTTGACTTAGAGTGCAACTGGGATTGACATCATCAAAATAAGTGAACCACCAGTGGTGAAAAGGGAATAGTAGTATCTGCAGACAATATTTTGCCATATATGTCACAGAAGGAAAATGATATGATCGAAGCTAGTAAATTACTAAAATCTACCTTCATTAATTTATTTATCATCTATTTGTCAATTTACATTAGACAACACACACACATGTTGATGCCCCACAAGGGAAATGAGCCATGGTCTCTCTTAAAACTTGACTGTTTATTGTGCTAATCTGAAACTGTGTCTTGGAGTTGTATGGTGTAATTGATTACAAGGCTAACAAGATATATTTCATTGGAATTTATAGTACACTGTAAATTAAGGTGAAAATATATATGTTCATGAATGCTTAAATTAGTTTGATATTAGTATTTTTTTTTTTTATTATTTACAGAAATTCAGTCTGTCATTTGTGAGAAAAGTAAAACAACTATGACAATGATATAATTATAATTTATTAAAGTATAGACTACTGTAGACAAAAACAACCTTGTTGGATTTACCAAGAATTGGAGTATTTAAAATACATCAAAGACTCGGATAAAAATGTTGATAAGTTGGATATAATGAACATTTAATAGACCGAATTATCGATCGACACTGTTCGGCTATTAGTGGGTATTTGAACCAAAACAAACGCACAAAAGATAGGCGATCTACACAGTAATTTAAGAAAATAGCCTTTACTAAAATGTCTCATACACGCTTTGTGTGTAAAGTTGAGCGTGATTTAAATTAACAGAAACTATTGTTACATGTTTATGAATGTAACATCATCTTTTCTCTACGATTGTGTTTGCCAAATGTGAAATATAACGAGAATAAATCGTACTATTTTGGGAATAAAACATACATTGGTCATGTCTGCCTGTGTTCCAGCACGACGACGACAGCGGTGTATTCACTTTCAGTGAATCATGGCGTCGGTCGATGAATGTGCTTGTTGCAAAATTCATGAAATGTGTTGTACTTGCAGATTTCAAGGAGAGTTAAGTTATTCAAAATTATTGAATAATGTTCCTAAATTCACACCAATAAAACAAAATGACTGACGACAGCATGGAGCTGAACGTTTACAGTCAGGCCTCACTCAATCATCACATCCAGCCATGTCGCGTTGTCGTGCAATAAGTGTCAGGGGCCGAGGCCTAGCCTGTAAAAACTCTACGTATATTTAACTTAATTTTACATGAAAATCAAATCAAACATCTTCTGATGGTTCTATGAACCTTCCTTAACCTACCAATGTTTTAAAAAGTATCTTACCACATACTTTGGATTTTTTGGCTTGTTTTCCTGGCCCATACAAAACTCCAACATTATAGAATAGGAATTTCAGGCTTGTTTACAATTTTATACCCACTCGACCAAATTGTGATGACGTCATCTTTCGTCGCTAATTCGGTCTATTAGTTAATATATTGTGAATTTGAGGTCAAATGAAGAACTCTACAATCATTAAAACAACCTAAAATTACAGGTTACTGTATATCTAAGGTGTTGTTGTATCACCTATGATTTTACTTACCTTAACTCGTCTGCAAACTTCCTCCCATTTTTGGTTTAGCGCAATGAGCTCTGGTTCAACTACTCTACGACCTTCGCCCCCACCTTGCATAAGCTCCATGGCTTCATCTCTTGTCTCTTCAACACGTACAACTAGTTCATTTGCCTCATCTTGCAGTTTCTATAGCAACAAATTACAATCATTTAATTACCATGATAATATAACAAGTGTCTGATCTATAAGGTTTTGTCAGTGAAGAAAATCTTGGAATTTGGCAAAGAACAAACTAATTATCTGAAATTATATGGCAAGAACTCAACTAGTACCCTAACTACACTGGTGTCATTACATTAATGTTTATTGACAGTCCCTTTAAAATAAGTGGTATAATCCACTGGGTTGTGTGTTACAATCATTGAATGAAAAATTCATTAAAAAAATACAATGCAAAGAGAAAATAATATTTAGAAGCAGTATATTTGAATACTTTATAGGATTTTATATATCATAACTTTACTATTACTTGATTTCATAAAATTCATGTACTATCGTTAAAACGCTTTGCATACGAGCATATAAGATAAATAAGCAATGGTATAATCAAGCTTAAATACTTGACTAAAACATTACTAAACAGTAATAATCATTTATTTAAAACAAATTTTAGACATTATTAAATACTACTAAACACTTGTTAACATAATGGAATACTTGTAATAATGTATACCTTGTACTTATTAATCTCTTCTGGTGCGGCCTTATCTTCTCGGGACAGCCTGTCAGACGTACGCAAAGACTTCTCCACCGCTGTCAACCACAATCGTATGCTACTCACGTTGCTTTTTAGCGTGTTGATGCGATCCTGGTGCTCCTGTTAAACGAAACACAGATATTATGATAAACTTAGGGAAAGCGGTTTATACCTAGACAGTCATCATATTGGCCAGCTTATTAGTAATTTTGTTCAGTGGCATTCATCCAACATTTATTACACAATACGCCTGGTAAAAACATTAAGGGTGTTTATTGCAAAATTATCGAAAATTAATAGGAATATCAGATATACTATAATATCCAATGGCAAATGTACAATTATGCTACTGTAGATAAGATAGTGCCTATGTTGTATTCAATGTAAAACATCTGGCTATTAGCAACAAATGTTGCTATCTTTTTGTTACATCTATCATAGGAGACAAAAAACAAGGCATTTGTAGGCATTCATTGAATAATTCATTTGTAAATTTTTTTTTTAATTTATACCTAATTAATTTAAGTCAACATAGCACAATTTTATTTTCAACCAATAACAATTACAATGAAAACACAAGTTTTTGTTTAGATTTGTTATACAAAATCATATGATCTATCATCATACTAAACCAAAATTATGAATACATTTTTTTTTTCAACAAAGAGAAACTCGCCGCTTACAGGAATAAACAAGCACTTTATGAAAATCTATAATCCATCTATTATACCTAAATGAAAAACGATGAAGTTTTTCAATTATTTATTATTTATTTATAGAAATTGAAATTTTTTGAGATAAATTTTATTGATTTTTGAGAATAACTTTTATATATTGTTTTCTTGTAATTGTTTTTAAAATTTTTTAAAAAATATGCTTTATCATTGTGCTTTCTGTATTTTACTGTTATCACTGTATATGTTTTGTGTTTGTTATGAGGGCCTCTTTGAGTCAGCCTCGCTTTAAGAGCCACCCTCATAAAAGAAAGTTGAATAAATAAATAAATAACGACTGACAAAAACAAATATTTAATCTGAGTCTGAATGTAATGCTTAAGGAGTACAAGTTCACATAACTTGAATTGTAATTCGACTGCAATTTCATACTTTGATTTTGTATATTACGAAAATGACAATTGTAATCGAAACCACACTTTTCAATGTAAGAATCAATTCATGGTTTGCAAAACTTTAATAATTATAGTACTTTATTCAGAATAATCAATAATACAGCGGGCAGATAGTTCTCATAAAAAAAATAAAAATTCATTGAAATTCATGAATTCCAACAAAGAAAAAAAAAACAATTATCAAAAATAAAAATTCATTGAAATTCATGAATTCCAACAAAGAAAAAAAAAACAATTATTAAACACATTTACAGTAATTCAGTTAAATGTAATGAATACCAATGGGCTAGAGCAAGATCGAAGCAACTTTGATTTTTTTAAATATTAACATTTTTCTGTGATTATTTTAATCATTTATATGCTGTTTCATATTTGGCTAAATTAACCAACATTTATCAAACAGAGGATATCATCTTGTCTTGGATTCTTTGTTAAAAAGGTGCATATAGAAATGTCTATATTAATATTATCAATAAAAGCTACATTCCTATTCAATTTTTTATTTGTTTAGAATTGAAATAAACATATTTCCTCATAATAGAAAAAACTAGGCCGTATCTTGGGTTTGTCTTTATTCGAGAAAACAGAAATTTTAGGCTTTGAATCCAAGTGGTAATACACATTGCTGTTGAAGGTGGTTTTATGTTTTCAAATGGATGTACTAACCATAGTTAATGTGTATTTATATAATATTAACACACTTAACAAATGTACACATTTAATTAATATGTTATCTATTTTTTACTCTTTAAAAAATAAACCAAAAAACTTAAATCTATCTAATGATTGATTTTTTACAAATTGATATTTTTATGATTTATTGATTATTGAGAATAACTTTCTTATTGTATTGGTTTTTTTTTACAATAGATCTAAATTTTATCAAGAATCTATTTTAAAATAAATAAAAAAAAAATAAATAAATAAATAAATAAATAATTCTAGTAACAACCATGTTTCACCATGGAGGAAGGAATCTTTCCTAAATGGTTGCACCAACATGTTCTCAAAACTATCAGTAAACAAGTGAGTGTCTCTCAAGATACGACTTGGTGGCATTAAAATTTTAACAACTTCCTGAGTAAAACTATGTGCTATTAGCAGTCTAGTGCGTATTCCTTTTTATGTTGCACCGTCACCGCATTTAAAACAACAATTTTACAAGATACGAGCGTGTTGCATTAACTATATAGCCAATTCCGGTCTTACAACCTTCTATACTTAATTATTATTTTAAAGAAATACCTGCCAATTGGAGATTAAAATATGTTCAAAAATATGGGACACTGTTAAGCTTCCTAGAAATATGTGCTTTAGGAATTACATTAATAAAACAAATTTTAAATGCTACATTTATTTTTAACTTTGATATCAGAAACCTCTCCATCAGTGATATGGAAAATAATAAAATATGTTTGTATGTGAGCTGGAATCAGCACCTGACCTGTAAACAGCGGGAATTGGGTTGTAATCCTGAAGGATGAAAATGTTTTTCTCAAAAGTGTATTATTATTCAGACTACATTATCATAACATAACATATCTTAAAGTTGCAAAATTTGTGAGTTAAATTTTGTTAGAATTTGAGTAACAATATTGTTATTCAATAAAATATATTGTTCTTTTAACAATAAATTTGGAATAATGTTGAATCTGGTGTCTGATTTTAAATCAAACAGGAACTTATTATATGTATTTTCAACCGTTCCAGACTTCGGGAGAGAATGTAACGCAAAATGTTCAGAACACGACTTGATTACGTTGTAGGTTCTACATCTTTGCAATACGAAAGCTCCCTAATAGTCCACCTTCAAGGGCAATTTATACTACAGTACCAGAATGTGACAGCCTTCCTCTGCTGCTGGACAATTTTAACCTTCACTAGTACGAATCAACCACCATGTGATACAAGTCGTCCAAAGCCAAAACTACGTACCTTTATTGCATTCTTCCTCATCAGAATCTTTTCTTGGAAGTCTGCATACTGTTTTTCTAACTGAATGACATCTTCTTGCAAAGGCATCATCGTATCACACTTGCTAAGTCTTGACAACTTCTCCGACACATCCCTCATCTCATTCAATTTAGGTTTACATTTTCTTGACTCAAACTCCAGTTTCTGAATCAAAGCAAATATTCCAGTATAAAATAAACCTTGGTTTTTTTTATTTATAATAAAATAAAGGCATCTCCAATACAGCAATATCTTTCCTATTTTATTTTTTTTTCATACTACCCTTCATGTGGACAAAAAAAGCTGATATTAAATAAGTGTGTGGGAGACAGACTAATGTTTGGGTTATGGGCTCAGGGTCCTGGGATTTTAATTTGAAATCTCACAACAATAATTACACTTCTGTTCTTTGGCAATTAAGGTACAGGCATCTCAACCAAAAAGAAATACATAGGGACATGATTGAAAATGATACTATATATGCTAATGCTACATGGTATTCCACAAAGATTGGAGATTTAATCATAGCTAGAAATGTTCCGCAAGAATAATGCAGCATAGACAGCAGCATATCTCAAGCAGGCAAACAGGTAGCCAATGAGTAATCCGACTTACCTCCATCCACTCTTGTTCTTCCTTTAAATCGTCTGCAATTTTGTTCAGCGATTCCCTTCGATTCAACTCATCTCCGACAGTTTTCATCCATTCACTTAATGCAATCACTTCCTTCTTGAGTTTGCGCGATAGCTTCAGTGCTTTCTCTAGTTCCTGCTTTCCTTCTGTTACTCGTTTTCCGAGAACGTTGTACAGCTGCTTCAGTCCGTTTAATCTCTCTGTCAACTCGGCAGGGTTCTCCAGCTGACGCTTCTCGACAATGTTTCGGCCGGATTTGATGACCCATTCTACTTCGGCTTTCACCTCGCTTAATGTCTTGTAAAAGCCCTTTAGGTAAAATCAAATTAGAGAAATTTGTTATAATTTTATTTCTTTGTTTTATGAAATTTGCCTCACTTAATGTTGTTTAGAAGCCCTTTAGGTTCAATGGATTCATGAAATTAAACAGGGTAATGTTTTCTTAAAATAAAATAAATGTGTTGATATTAATATAGATTACATGAACATTGAATGATAATCTTTTATACTGAAAAAGTCACTTGAAACATCATAGGACATACAAACGGTGTACAGAATATATAATCATTGACTAATATAAACAAAAATATTACATTTTAATGGGGGGTAGTTAAATAATTCACTCCTATTCTTACTCATTCATACAATATATACTGGTATTAACATAATTAAATATGTACATCAGTGTATGGTTTACGATTAATTTATATTTCCATTTAATTTTGCCAACCACAATCATTTCTCTCTCATCAAATACATCTTTCTGTGTATATCATGTATTTACAGTAGTTCAACAAACAGCATTGTATTAGAAAATTCTGTCTTCTACTCTCGAAAATTACATACGCTTCATCAAAACTAGGTCAGCATAAATAATAGTGTTAAATAAAGACGGTACTACTAACATAAACCTAACCACGTCACTAAGCTAAAATGGGGCATTAAAAAACTAATAGCGTTATATGACCAAACTTGTGCAATTGTTTCGCCCAGTGCATATGTTCATGACAACCGTGTCATCAAATCTCTTAAATCCGCTCAAACAGCTCTAAAGTATGCTTCATAAATCAATACACCATTAAATTGAATATTCAAAATCAATCTGAAATTTTAAATATCAAACAACTCAAGCCCCCGGCAGAAGGCAGAATTCAGCGGGGTGGGAAAAATTTACATAATGAATTCAATTACCATGCAGGCATCGAGCTGCGTTTGAATGACCTCAGGTTCACAATTTTTGAGGTCAAGGACCTTTATTCCCTCATTGACACGCTCTAGGATTTCTTTAACATGCAGCATTTTTGGTTCGAAGTCAGCTGGTTTTTGGAACTTACGAAACTTAAACTGCAACTCATCAAGGTTTTTCTGTAGAAAAAATAGTCAAAAAATTATACTAATATGACATTTTACAATATTCAGTATTTTGACAATGTCACCAGACATGAAGAATGAATGTGACCTGTGTAGTAATGTGAAGGGTTAACGGCCTTGTTGGTATTAAGCGCTATATAAATATAACATGTTATTAGTATTGAAATTTGAGAATGTAAAACAAAATCAATATTCCAATAATTAAATGTTTAACACACTTTGTGAACTATTTTGCTGCCATGGAGAGGGGGTGCAGGGGGGTGTATCTGCAACCCCCGCACCACTTCCAGCCTACGCCAATGAATCATGGCAGCTCATGGGAAAGACATGTAAAATCACCTTTATCCTTAAATGGCATCCATCATTCTTCACTTACCCTAAGCATGTCTATCTGCTGCTGCATCCTATGGGAGGCGCCCTCGTGCGTCTGCTCTATGAGACCATGAGCCCGGCTATCGATGTCATCATAATCAGTCTCTCTAGATGCAAACTCTAACCTCAATTGCTAGGGGAGCAGACAACAAAGGAAGGTTTTGATATCACTGTACAGATTCAATATACAGTACAGTTAATTGCTCAAGGGAAATGGTATTTTACAAATGGACTCAACTAAAATTTTATCAAAATGTCTGGTTTTATTAGTAACTGTCGGATAATGCTATAGGGAGGAAGTAATGCAGTTTTTTTTTACATAGTACTGTAATATGATATGTTTCAGGAGAATTTCTAAATAGTAAATCAAGTAGACATAAAAAGCTGACACAAAAATGAATAATTTGCATCAGTACATTTTGAAAATTAACAGACAAGAAATTAAAAAAAATCACAGATTACTACGGCAAAAACCCTTCTTGGTAAAATTGAAAAGATTTACAAGTAAATCTGTAATTAAACCTTTTGTTTTATGATTGCTGATGTTAAATCACCATCACTATGGACAGCACAGTTAGAACTATGAATTGGCTTATAGTCTATGTAAAGACTCGGTGGCTATGCCGTCAAACTATAAGATAAGACTGGAGCTGTGACATCACCTTTAAATCCTACAGCACTTTCATGAGTTCAACTCTGAAAAGAAAGCTTTTTCTCTCAACTATTCAAGGACTTACTTAGGATAAATAATAAAAAATTATTGTGTAGGCCACGCCCGACCGACCCAAAATGTTCCAATTTGATAGTAGGCATTTTAGTTTTTTTTTTTTTACATTGAAAAATATTTTTTTAATGTGCGTAAAAAGTCTGGAATAGGCCATCTTGCGACGGTAGGAGATGCAACAGTGTTATTAAGCAATCGTTTTGCTCTTCAATATAGATTTAAAAATGGTCTTTGTTGTATTTTTGTGTATTTTCAACTTTCTAGGCATAAAAAAATTTTGGTAAAAATAAATAAAATAAAAAAAAACCTTTTCCTACTGACCTACCCATTTTTTGGATTTTCTTCAAAACATGGCAAACACAAGAATTTTGTTTTATTGGCCTTATACAGCAATAAGGGGTTCCAAATAACCAGATTTGCTTAATACACAATACTTTTTTTTATGCATTCCTATAGAGTACTACAGTGTTATGTCACGATACAACGTGATACTACTCCATTGCTATCATTGCAAAATGAGTTCAACTGGACGCTATTATCTCCACTGACAAACCAGTGATCCCAATTTCTAACATAATTATTAAGATGTTTTATCTTAGTTTTTCTTTGTAAATTTTTAATTGATTAAATTTGTGTTCGATAACTAATATAATGCAAGCTTTATTGATTGAAGTTATTCAGGCGTAATGGACGGTAACCAACGTCTGGTTGGCGACAGAGGGCGCCACCTGGTGTGGTGACGACATGACTGTGGTAATCTATTTATTTCAGCAATATTTACAGTACTACTCTAACTTCTTCATATTTTTAGGGAGTGGTTCATATGGTTACATGGCTGTTTAACAACCCTACTGTTTCTGGTTGTGGTTTTGTTTAACCAAATTAAAGGAATATTGTATTGTGTTATCCATTTTTTAGAGTGAAACAAATTTTATTAATTTACTTGATACCGTATCAATTATTTGGCCATAAAATGAAAGGGGGAGACTAGCAGAACATAAAAATACACAATACCTGTACGTATAAACTTAATACAACTAGAAACCTAATGGAACGATATTATACAGATATTGCCTGCTTAGAGGTGTAATATAACATTTGATATCCCCGAGGGAATTATATTTTTTTCGAAGAAATATATTTTCCCGAAGCGCATAGCGCTGAGGGAAAATATAGTCCTGAGAAAAAAATATAATTCCCAAGGGGATACCAAATGTTAATATTACACCGATAAAAAAGGCAATATCTGTTATATTACATAGCCAAACATATATCGTTTAGCCTAAAATTCACTGTTTGCTCTCCTTACCTAAGCGTAAAATGACCGAAAAATGTAACGCGTTGAGCTCCGTTGTGAAATTTTCAATATGCAAAAGTAGGCCTAGGTCTAGACCTAATTTGATGATTCCTTGACCTTACAATATTCACTGAGTGGGCCTACATTAACGGATGAATTCACAACAAATTTTGTACACCGAGAACCCTTTTCGTCAATAATTCTATCCAATTCGTCTTCTTTGAGAGATTTAAACTTATTCGAAGTCGCCATTTTCGAAGCGCTAGGCTTTCCACATTCACAATTCATGAGCGATCGATCGTGTGCTCGACTAGCAATTCACTGCGGGTGTAATCCGGTGAAGTCGGAGACCGGTCACTTTTCAAAGTTATATTTCCCTATGGGAAAATATAACGTTTTTGATCGTCGTAGCGCTAGTCACGTGATGGCATTTCAACCAATCACGTACTCGTATTTACATAGGCTATGTAATATAATAATATATATATAGTATTATGGTGTATGCCTACATATATTTCTTTTACCTCAAATTCCTCAGGGACATCAGTGGCAGAGATCTTTGAGGCTAGCCTGCCCATAAGTGTCTTGTCAACAGTGGTGATCCAATTCTGTAGGGAGAGCATGTCCCTTTCCAATCTCTGAAGTAACTGTACATTTGTTTCTAACGTTGATTGTCTTCGCTTTGCCTAATGAAAATAATAAATTTTTATATGGTGATGTCCTACATCTACAAACAACACAGGGGTTTCAGCAAGTACAGTACATTACTGCTACTGTATTACCCCTAGTAGTGCAAGCCACATGGATGACACGGTCGGTATAAGTATGTGTTTTAAAGAACCAAATGTTGTGAATTCGAATCCTATCTTGGTATTCATTTTTTTTTTAAAGACATTTTATTTAGTTTTTTTTTTTTATTTTAAGACATTTTAATTTTGTACATATGAACATTCTAAATAACATTTTTTTTTGTACAAATAAACATTCTAAATATTTCAACATTTCTACCTTATTAAATCATAATACTGAATCATTCCAAAAAATGAATTGATATACGAAATAAGATACAGGTCTCCCTCCAATTAAAGACCACCTCCAATTAAACACCACTTTTCTGTTGTCCCGTTTGAATTCCTATCTTTTAACATCAGTTGTTTTCTCCAATTAAAGACTAACTCTATTTAGTGACCAAAGATAATGGTTTTGGTGGACCCAAATGAACATTTTTCCTGCAATTAAAGACCACTATAAAATAAATAGTGAAGTTAATGCTATTTTTGTGTCCACACAAGGTGCTGACCCCAGAACCTCACTGTTGTTCTTCTTCTTGTATAATCTTTTAAAATCATAATTATTTTATTGTATTTCAATTTGTAGTAAATTTAAATGAATTAGGATCCTTTGTAATTTCTTGTTATTTTCTTTTTTTTTTATTTTTTCTGTTTTTGACTTACTTTCTGTATAATTCAATCGATGCTTAGGGAGCGTCGCCAAATTATCCTACCGCGGTAAGCCTTAATCTACCGCACCGCGGTAGACACAAGGCTGTATATGCAGAAAATTTGCATATCACATTGCATA